AGAGTGATAAAGGGTAAATTTCTGAAAAAAAAATTCTTATAGTAAAAACCTCTGAAATTTTATTTAAAAAATTGAATTCTATAATGAAAATATCAAAGAAAAATACACTTTTTGCCCATAAAAAACCACCAGTGACTGAAATACTGCTTTAAAAATCCCTCAACATGGCATTATGCCAAGAAAGCGGGCACAGTTATATTTCTGTATCATTCTCAAACAGGAATTACTACTGTTGAATGTGCACTCTCAACGCTGAGTTGAGCCATCATGGCGTTATTCTTGGATACTTTCATTGGTATGAATTCAGTGATCAAAATGTTTAACTCAGGAAAAAAATAAAAATCCCAGACCTACAATTTTTTTGCTTAAAAGATACAGAAATACTTCTGTACTTCATCAAAGCACCCATAACATGGAATTATCTTTAAAACATTCCACAATAAAGAATGCGCTCCCTTACACTTACTAGAGACAACAGAGCTGAAGTAATCCTGCGATGTGCTGTTTTTGGAACATGACTTGTGACACAGTAGAGGATACAATAAATTTAGGGCTGTGTATTTTATATCTTAATTTGTTACAATTTACTTTAAGAACCAGGTTATTTTTTTGCTGCAGGATGTAGTCCCTGACCTATATTCATCATCTTCTAGAGATTAAGACTACTGTCTTGTTTTTCCCCTTTATTAAGCATATTCAATGTCAAAATCTGTGTGTCTTGTATTAATGTTGCATTTGCTGCCTAGGACAAAATACATTAAATATCAAGATTCTCCTGGAAAATTTAACTTTAGCTTACAGGGTGTAAGCTAAATTAGTAAGTACATGATCATATCACAAAACAAGGCAAGAGAAAGGAAGCTATAGTAGATGGCTGCAGCAGACATGCATGTATATGCGTAATATCCATACCATGTTCAATTTCACAATTATAAAACACACTTTACTGCTTTTCCAGCTCTTACCAATTTTGTGCAGTTTTTCACAGCAAATAAGAGCTACAACTCTCTCAGCCAGTCTTGCACAACTCATTGGAGGACCCTACAAACATTTAAATAATTCTTAAAAACTTCAGTTCATCAGTACATTACTTATTATACATGGTTAATTAGTTTAACACAAACATATTAGATAAGCAAAACTTAAAAAAAAAAATACATTCATGACAGGTTTGTGAAGATATTCAGGCTTATGCTTTTTTTCACATAATTCCACATAATTTTTCCAGAAGCCAAAATTACAAGAACTCAACATACTATTGATCAAAACCAATAAAGGACGTTTTCCTACAACTGATACATAAATGTGCAAAAAACCGAGGCATTGGGAAGAATTTATAAATATTTTTGCCTTTGGAATAAACAGTAACTGCTGGAAAACAGATTATAACAGAAATAAGCATTGATCTAGTTACAGTGCACAATACAGGAAGAGAAAAAGTGATTTTTCATTAACAGCAATGAAACTAATTCTAGAAACATCACAGACATCTATATCAACATATTCACTTATTTCCATGCTTCCCCAAATACCTACAACAATTGAAGCTCGTAGAGGTGAGTTGATTGGCAGGTACAGAGTAGAGTAAAACGTATGATCAGGAAGTTCTCGGGTTTTACACTTGGGAGCTAGGTGTGTAAATGGATCACTTGGTAATCTAGCGCAGTACCTAAGTTGACAAAACATTTTACAAGTCATCAAAATCTGAAAAGTTGAAACCCGAACACATTTCAGTGGAATGTTGCCTTACTGGTGTAAGGGCTACAGAAGATGATTTCAGGCCACACTGAGCACTGCAAGGGTACACTGTTGACTCATATTCAACTAACTACTGAGCAGAAGACCTCCAAGTTCTTTAGTACAAAGCTGGTGTCCAGCAAGGTGCGCACTCTCCTTCTCTGGAGATATTCAAAACCCATCTGGACGTGCTCCTGTGTGACCTGCTCTAGGCTAACCTTCTTTGGCGGGGGAGTTGGACCAGATGATCTCCAGAGGTCCCTTCCAACTCCTACCATTCTGTGATTCTGTGAAGGTGGTTCCAAGGTTGTAATGATGCACAAGACTATTCTACCTCAAGTCCCAGAGTTTGCATTTGTCTTTGTTTAATCTCCTGAGTTTACTGTTGTCCTATTCCTCCTATTTGCCATAGGAGGAATAACGAATTCCCATTTGTCATGGTTCCCCCTCTGAATGATAGCCTTTTTTCCACCGCAGTCACTTCCCCCCCTCTCCCAACTCTCTATCAAATGCAAATGTGCTGACGTTAAACTGTACTGGACCTCCTAACAGCTCATGAGTAATACCACGTATAACCAGCTGCCAGCTAGGCTTTGAACCATCTATCATTACACCCTTCGAATCAGACTGCTTCACCAGGTTTTATTTACCAGGCAGTCCACTGAAGTGGTCTGCATCTCAAGAATTTGGCTACTAAGGTACTATGGCAATCACATTAAAAGCTTTACTTAAGTAAATAACTTCCACTGCTTTTTCCCTGCTCAGAGTCCATCACTTCATCACATAGGAGACAACAAGGTTGGTCAAGGCAAAAACTGCCCTCAATAAAACTCCGTTGGCTCTGCCAACCCTTTTTCTCTATGTGCCTGGAAAGTGCTTCCATAAGTACTTGGTCCATAATATTCCGGATGACTAAGTTAAAAATTAACCAGTCCATAAGCATCCTGGATAGTCTTCCTTGTCTTTTCTAAAAATGTCGTAACATCTACCTTTTCCTGTCACTGAGTATCAACTCTAATTGCCATGGCCTTATAAAGATGATAATTAGCTAGTTCCCTTGGAAGCATACCATTCTGTCTTGTGGACTTGTATTATGTTCAGGTTATTTACTATGTTTGTTTTTAAACATGACAACAGATTGCTATTACAAATGTGAGTATTACAACTTGAAGATTTTACTACAGTTTTAACATGCCACTTTATTTTTAAAGCTAGCTTGTCAAGAACAAAGAAAAACCAAAAAAATGATCTTACTAACCACCCTGAAACAGAATGTTTTCAGGACAGCTTTTAATTAAACAGGAACTGATTTCGCTAAATTTACTATCAGAGCTAGAACCTCTGCAGGATAAAGAGACAAAAAGCAAATTATCCTTTCAAACTGCTGTGACCACTTTCTTTAGGAGACAAGAGCCTGTCAAGATTCCTAAGAGAAAACGTGTACAATGCCCCAGCCTATGCTTCTATGTTGCAAGACAGACTAAGAAAGTTTTTATTCAAAGACAAGCAGTAAGAAGTGAATATACCTCTTACCTATTTATGTGTCCAATAGCAGTGTTAATAGTAACTCTCGGACTGTTCTCATCTGGCCTCAACACATAGGGTGGAAATACATCATCATCATCAACAATGGGTTCAGTTTCAGTTTCATTGGTATCAACAGATTTTGAGCATTTGTTTCTGAGGATCTTAAAGATTTCAAAAACAGAACATGATGAGAGGTGTTTATCTTAAAAAATACTATGACACACTTAACAAAACCAGGCACGTTCCTTTGACCTCATACCTTCTCAATTGCTTTGTATGTCTTAAGATCTTCTTCAAAACTTTTGATTTTGTCTGTATCTGCTAACATAATATAATTGGAAATTGGTGCTCTAGCTCTCCCTTTTGACTGTACATAGGAACGGTATTCTGTGGGTAAATCAAAACGCACCACCAAGTTGCATTTTGGTATGTCAACACCCTCTTCTACAATACTAGTAGCAATAAGTAAGTTGGTCTCGTGTGCTCGAAATTTTCTAAGAACCTGCAAAGGTAACGAAGACAAATTTGAGAGATTAGTCTGACATCTGTTTCCATCATCAGATTCATCAAAAGGAATAATAAAAAGAAGAGTGGATCAGACATGGCAAAAACTTGTCTAAGTATGCAGATATAAAAGTATTAAAACAAAACATCTTTCCAGAAACACAGCAAGACTGTTTATCAGAATAGGCAGATTTCTAGGAATCAAATCTTATACGTGGAATTACATGAGTCCAAGAAGTTAGCACAGCAACGCAGAGGATCCCACCTATTTATTTACAATTTTTCAGTTGCAGTACAAAAAACCGCTGCTTTCAGGACGGCATCTTTTCCAACTATTTCTGAGGTTGAAAACATCTTCAGGGGTGGAGCATATTCTAGAGCTGGTACTTCTGATATTTATACTAACTACTAAACAATACTAAGGAAAGGCTGAGGGGGGCAGGGGGGGGACAGGGGGAGGTCAGAAGGACAAACCAGCAAGGGGTAAAGGATAAATGCATTTGCTTTCAAAATACTTTACATGCTTTAAGTGAGGTCAAAATTATGGAATTATATAATTTAACAACTTATATAATTTAACGATTTACCAAACTAGCTTTTAACAAACATAAATATTAAAACCAGCTTAACTGTTGAAAATGTCAGGCACCTTGATTTTCTTTACAGTATTACTGTACTACTACTAACCCCATGCAGAATAATTACATGGTTGATGATCTGACTAGACATAAACATGATTTTACATGTTTTAATTTCTGTTTGTGTAATGTGACATAGTAATGTCTCCAATCATGTTTGGGTTTTGGTGTTCGTTTTTGTTTTTTTTTTTTTTTTTTAAATGAAAAACATCTGTATCCGCAATAAGTATGCATATTTGTTAAACCAAGGGTATTCCCTGAACTTCCAGTGACTGTCTCTGCCTGTTGGTTTGTCTTCTTTTTAAGATACACACATAAAAAAAAAAAAAAAAACCACAAAGAAGAAAAGAGAGAAGAAAACAAAAGGTTCTGAAGGTACTGCTAGTTTCAACTATTTTTCTTGAAGTTACCTCTTCCTGTTTTCTGAATTCTACTTCCATCTGCTTGTTACGAGGCTGGTTCTTGCCAATGCCATGTCCAGTTATAAAATTGCTACTGATGTAAGCCAGTTCCGGGTCTTGCTTGCCAGCTTCTTTTATCAACCTAAAAATATTATGTGCATTTTTAGAAGTCACACAATCCAGAAAATGGAAGGCAATCTTTGTTTGCAAGACAGACCTACATTAAAAGAAACGATGGAAGCACAACAATTATGTCATATTAAGACATAAACTGACCTTGGTCTTCTCTAAAAACACTAGTTTTAGTGAAAACCTCTAAGGATAATAAAAGACAGACTGCATACACGCACAGCATGAGTGTGCATGCTTCACACATTTCAGATCTATCATGGTAAAACCAGGTATTTTAAAAACAAACTATTACTCTAAGGCTCCCTGTTGTTAAGGCACCCTACTCACAACCGCCTTAGTTAACCTCACTTTCTGTAAATTATGACCGATTTTAGAAGACAGACCTGTAACTACTCCCTCAAGAAAGTGTATTTCCTCAATATAAGGTGTTAATTTTTAGGTTAAAACATAGATTGTTATTCTCCTTAATATTAAAATTCATATTCTGTTCAGGTATACTAGTGACAAAATGTTGACCTGTTATTCTGAAGAGTGATGCTCAGCCTAGCCAGTGAGATGTTTACTACTTTTGAAATTAACCCAAATGTATCTACAACTGGAGGACTTAATCCAGTTCTTTAAAAGGAACACTGAACAGGGAGGTGAGGATCATCCATGCTCTCAGTTTATTTCCCCACATCCTTCTTTAGGTTACAGGAGCAGAATAGGCTGGCCTCTGCAGCATGTTGATTTCACAGACAAGGTAGAAGACTGCTCGTATAAATAATGCACTGAATCTAGAACTCTGCATTTATAAATTTAAAGCATAATTACATTGTGCAATCAAAGTAATTATGCTGTAGCATTCTTAGTTGACCTGTTTTCAGCATGGACAGAACTTGGGATTTCTCAACCATAACAGGTTTTTGAGCAGCACAGCCAATAAAAATAAGGGATCATATGTTAAAAAAATTACATCCCTTGCGTATCTCACTACAGCTGTCCAGTACCAACCTGCTCACAGCACATCCACCACACCCATTACCAGGTGCTCCTCATATCCAAAGGATGGGCTGCCTCTCTATATCTCCAACAGTAACTCACACCTGTCCCAATTACATCTCTAGCAGTTCCGCCTCACATACAAGATCAGTGCTGTGCCAGTCACCAGCTACGTGCCTATCACCTGCCCAGTGAGCTGCCGACAAACCAGATGGAAAATGGCAAAGTTCTCCCTGCCATTTCTACCCTTGGATAACTAAGTCTCTCCCCTTTACCTCATCACTGTTTTAAACAAGATTTATGGGAACATAAAACACCTTGAAGACCTCCTTCCTTTGCAATCTGTTAAAACTGGAATGGGTAGGGAATACAGGTAAGCGAATGGAAAAGTGGCAAACAGCTCGCTACCCTTACGGAAACAGACTAGAAGGATCCTCCTGTACTAAAATGCATGTGGTTTGCTAGTTCAAGGCTAAACAGATTCATGTTTCTGTATGGAGTCTAGGCTCTTGAGACAGACATAGTAAGAAAGTACGAGTTAATAACTGGACAAAACCCCTAATTATTTTTTTTAATATTTCTTTTTCCACACGGCATTTCTGTCAAGTCACATAGCTTCAGTCTGAGTACCTACTAAACATCTCAAACATTCTTACTGTATCTCACTTACAGAAATGGACAATTAAAAACATCTCAATAAACATTTCACTGTGCACATCTTCAAGTTCTTGAGAAACATTCAAGACTTCAAACTTGTGGTTAAAAAAACTATTATTAGTGGTAGTAACTAGTGTTTTTTCTCAAATAAATACAAAAACTTCTGCTTTCAGATCCCTCTAAGGAAGCTGAGAAGCACTGCAATGAAAATAGAAGGAAACTGGGCTTTAGAAAATGTTTTCTCTTCTGAAAAGGAGCTTACAGGCACCAGAACTTAACTGTACACATCAAATAAAACAGCAAGTGAGGCAGTTCATCATTTGTGTATAATAATAATCAAAGAGTGAGCTGAGATTTTTGGGTGTTTTTATTTTTTTTTCCCCTAATTCGTAGTATTTACAATATATGGCTGTTGCTAAAGTCCTCTAAAGAGATTAGCTCCATTTACTGCTTCAGAGAAAATTCCTACCCATTTCTCCCAAAAAGTATAACACATGCCATGAATTTTGCCCTTTCTTGGTCATCATGGACTTCGTAAAATGGGATGCTAGTCTCTAAATACTAGCATAACAAACATATTTTAAGAAAAAAATATACTTCTGCTTTAACTTAGTTCTGTATAACGATCCATACTGGATTACTGCAAGCTCGAGTGGTTTTGATATACTAATTCAAACACTCATGACTTCCTTATTCAGAAGACA